GTGGACCTGCTGAAGCTGGAGGATGTGCTCCGGATGCACCCGTTCTACTACAAGGCCGCAATCACGGCCATCCAGATCTACCTGAGCCTCCATGACAATCCGCTGACGGATGACAGCAAAGAGCTGCAGGCGGACACTGGTGAGAGACGCACAGTGAAGATCCAGAGTCAACGAGGCTCTTATCAAGGCAAGGCCTTCACTGACCGTCCTTTTTGTCTTCATTTCTCTAGCAAACCTATCGGACAAAGAGCTGAAAAAGCTGAGGAACAAGCAGCGAAGAGCCCAGAAGAAGGCCCAGCTGGAGGAAGAGAAGAAGAACGCGGAGAAGGAGAAGCAACTCAAGAACCAGAAAAAGAAGAAGGAGGATGACGACGAGGAGATCGGAGGGCCCAAAGAAGAGCTCATTCCTGACAAGCTGGTGAAGGTCAGTGGCCGACACGTGAAGTATTAAAGTCTGTTTATCAGTTTTTAGGACTCGAGTTTTACTTTGTTTTGCTTTTACAGGTAGAAAATCCACTGGAAGAAGCCATCAAGTTCCTGACGCCTCTCAAGCACCTGGTCAAAGACAAGATTGACACCCACCTACTGGCCTTTGAGATCTACTTCAGGAAAGGTTGGTGCGCGCACGTTATCATGTGTTTTTTACTCCGCCAGTATCGTCTTCGTCCCCGTTTCTGCCTCACACGTTTACTGTGTTCTCCTTTCAGAAAAGTACCTGTTGATGCTCCAGTCAGTGAAGAGAGCTTTGGCAATCGACCCCGACCATCCGTGGCTGCACCAGTGTCTCGTACGCTTCTTTAAAGGCGGTATGAGAGGATTCATTATTTAACTACCAGCACATGCTCCTAAGCGCTCGGTTTTAATTGCCTCTCTATCCTTACATAATCCTTTTTCTCTGTTCCCTCTTTGCAGTTTCAGAGAGCAAGGAGCTTCCAGAGGTGGTCAGGACGGTGCTGAAGCAGGAGATCACCCGGCTGTTCGGAGACAGCAACGCTAAGAGCTTCAACCAGGCCTACCTCACCAAGCACTCCAGCTCCATACCACACAGACTGGCTGGTAAGTCTCTTTGACCCTCACTTCTAATACTTTGGTACTTAATGCAACAACAGTTCGATTGACACTTAAGAGCAGTACTCATGAAAACATTTAAGGTTATTTGACATGAGCTGGGGGCCGTTTCTTCCATTGTTGCAAATGTTTTTTGCTTGAATGTCACTCCGTTTGTTTTTGTTTGTTTTCCCCCCTTCTTAGGGGGGGAAAACAAACAAACAATTTTTCAAGCCCTGTCCACAGGGCTGTGTAGCTGCCGGGTGGTCTCTAGCAGACATTTCAGGTTCATGTTGCCTAGGTAACCCTCAGACTCATTTACCGCCTCCTCCTGTGTCAGTCAGAGGTATCCTCCCTCTGAATACTAGTTCATTCAGATGTTTTGGAGCTAGGAAAGTTGGTACCTACTTACTAGTACTCTATTTAAATTTTAAGCAAGCCAGGTTTTTTTGTTTTTTGTTTTGTGTTTTTTT